GGTTAAAAAATTAAATCCTCAATTTAATATCAAGTATTTTTGATATTTATCCAATCTATGTCAATTGTGTCAAGGCTTATTTCGTTGTGTGATGGACATGTCAAGCAGAGTGTCCGCTTCTGCATAAGTGAGATTGGTTGACTTGACTAGGCTATCAAAATGTTTTTGGGCTTAGAGGCATATGTTGGATTGACATAAGATGTCATCCGACAACCAAGAGTTATATTGGATATAATTAGCAAAGTGTGTTGCTTACCTAAATAGCTAGACATTCGGACGATGAGCCAAAGCTCACTTGAATTCTAGTAAAGTAAGAATATTGGATCATTATATTCATTTTAAGGATAATATTGTTTTGAATATAATGTGAGTTTTCTTAAATGTTAAGACTTCTCAATTTAATGAACATCATATTAATCTTCACTCTTCTTTCCGACAGCTATGTCAATCCCTCACAGTTCATTTTCATTGCGCTCCGTCCTTGAGAAGGACAAGCTGAGTGGATCGAACTTCCCCGAATAGTATCGAAACCTGAGAATTGTTCTCAAAGGAGAAGAAGGATTATGTCCTAGAAAAGAATCTCCCACCTGAAAAACCTAAGACCAATGCTCAACATGCTTACCTAAATAGCTAGACATTCGGGCGATGAGCCAAAGCTCACTTGAATTCTAGTAAAGTATGGATATTGGATCATTATATTCATTTTGAGGATAATATTGTTTTGAATATAATGTGAGTTTTCTTAAATGTTGAGACTTCTCAATTTAATGAACATCATATTAATCTTCACTCTTCTTTCCGACAGCTATGTCAATCCCTCACAGTTCATTTTCATTGCGCTCCGTCCTTGAGAAGGACAAGCTGAGTGGATCGAACTTCCTCGAATAGTATCGAAACCTGAGAATTGTTCTCAAACATGAGAAGAAAGACTATGTCCTGGAAAAGAATCTCCCATCTGAAAAACCTAAGACCAATGCTCAACATGCAGGCTCAACATGCAGAGAAGATTGCTTATGATAAGCATGTCGCTGATAGGGTTGATGTGTGTTGTCTTATGTTGGCTACCATGAACTCAGACTTGCAAAAGCAATGTGAGAACGTGGATTCTCCAATTGACATGATCACTAGCCTGAAAGGGATGTTTCAGGAGTAGGTACGAACTGAGAGATATCAGACCGTTAAGGCTCTCACTGAGTGCAGGTTGCCTAAAGGCAGTCCAGTTAACCCACATGTCATTAAGATGATGGGTTATATTGATAATCTGGCTAAACTGGATGCTCCCATTAGCCAAGAGTTGGCTACTAACATCATCCTGCAGTCATTGCCGTCAAGTTATGATTAGTTTGTTATGAACTACAACATGAACAACTTGACAAAGACTTTGACTGAGTTTCATGGGATGCTCAAGACAGTTGAGCCAAAAATCAAGAAGGACACCCCACACGTACTCATGGTACAAGGGGCAAAAAGTTTAAGAAATATGGTAATAACAAAAGAAAAAGTAAGGCAAGCTGGTAAGAATTCGGGCAAGCCTGACCCTGCTCCTAAATTCAAGCCTGGTCCTTCTGGTGAAAACAAGTGTCATTATTGTAATGGTTCTGGGCATTGGAAGAGAAACTGCATGAAATACTTGGAAGATCTGAAACAGAAGAAGACCTTCGAGACTTCTTCTAAAAGTATTTATGTTATAGAAGTAAATGTTACTACTTTTGCTTCTACTTCTTGGGTATTGGATACTCGTTGTGGTGCTCATAATTGTATGAATATGCAAGGCCTAAGCAACAATAGAACTTTGGAGAAAGGACAAGTGGACCTGCGTGTGGGAAATGGAGCAAGAGTTGCTGCATTACCTGCTGTAGGAACATTTCATTTGTCTTTGCCTTCGGGCATGGTTTTAAAATTTAATAATTGCTACTATGTACCTGCTATAAGCAGAAATTTTATTTGGAAAAATCGTATAAAAACTTTTAAGGTGGCACGCAATGACACTTTAAACCTCGAAAGTTTATCACTAGCAGTTTAAACCTTCAACTTGACATTATTCACAATTTAAACTATCAACGTGACACTTTTATACGCGCTGTCAAATTTTTAAACCTTTATACACTTTTATACACTTTTAAACCTTCAAATTTTTAAACAGCGCGTTACTTTTATACGCGTTGTCAAGTTAACAGAACGGTAACTTCGTTTAAAATTCGTTAATTCTTTTTTTTTAGTGTTTTCTTAGAAACGTGTCTGATTTATTTAAATTAAAAACAAATTGTGTTACTAAAATAATAAAACATTTTTTTAAATTAGAAAAAGATAAAGAAGAGATATATAATAAATCGTGGAACTGCCCAAGCTTCATTCATGTCAAAATCACAATACCATCTCTTGTTGCAACTCTACGATGAACATCTTCGAGATTAGGTTCTTCAATTTCCTGCTTAAAAACCCAGAACATAATCAAAATACAGGAAACAATAGAATCAAGAACATGATTATAGATCTAGAAAAAAACTTGCGAAATCTAGAAAACTCGATTCATAGTTTCTAAATTTTGTATCATTTCAATGATTTCATAGTATGAAACACGCAAAGAACACGATTCCAATCGAAATTAGCCCAATTATATGGAAGAACCATTCAAATCCCTAACCCTCAAATCACGAATCAAGATTAAATTCCTGAATAAACACCGAATCCAAAGAAACAAATACCAGAGATGTAGAGAAACCGAACTAACCAGAGACTAAAAGGAACTGAATGACGGAAAAAATGAGAGAGAGAACCGAGGAAGAAGAGGCAGTGACGATGTTGGGAGAATCAACGGCTCTATAGAGGACGAAGCAGGAGATGGAGATGGCGACAAAAAAAACAAAGGCTCGCCGAGCCAGCACCGGACCAGAACACGGTATGATATCGACGGTGGAAGCTGCGGCGACGACAGAGCAACGATTACCATCCTTGAGCCTCGCCGTCTTGAACCTCGAGCCAGCAGGGTGCTAAAACTTCGTCCACATCGACCATTATATTATATATCTGGATTGTGTGATGCGGGATTCGTAACAGAGCTCAAGAGTTCGAATCTTCTTGACATTTATTCTCCTTGTTTTTTCTTTAAAGCAATTATTGCCAAATAACTAAGGCACGTGTTTACTAAAATTTTCTCCAAT